GATTTTCTGCTGCATGCCATAAAAATGAGAAAAAAAAATTTAATAATGGGGAATAGTGATTTATAGATTGTGTCAGAGGGTGAAGAGCTTCCTCCCTGGGCAGAACGTGTATACTATTTTATTTTCTCTATAAGAGGAAAAATATTCCTCTGTATATGCTGTTGATCTATTATATAAACACTCTCATGTGAGCTATGTGATTTTTTATTAAGACTAAATGTGGTCTACTGTTAGGGCTCAAAATGAATTGTCAATTGTATTAGGTTCCTATTGATGCTATAAAAAGTTGCCTCAAATGCAGTGGCTTAAAGCAGGACAAATTTATTGTTTTTTATCATTCTGAAGGTCAAGTGTGAAATGAGTATTATGGGGCTAAAATCAACATGCTGGCTCGACTACGTTTTTTCTGGAGGCTGTGGAGGAGAAACCATTCCTTGCCTGTTCAGCTTCCAGAAGTTGCCCCCATTCCTTGGCTCCTGGCCCTCTTCCAGCAATCATATCGATCCAACCAACCTCTGTTTTGTTGTCACATCTTCTCTAACACTCCTGTCACTCTCTTTTCCTTATAAGGACTTTTGTGATTATATATTGGATTATCTCTGGATAATCGAGAATAATCTCCCCAGCACAAGGTCTTTAATCATATCTGCAAAGCCTTTTTTGCCATAACTTATTCATTTTATGGATTAGAATATTTGAGAGCTATTATTTTTGCCTACCTCATCAATAAAACCCAAATCAAAAGATTTCCTCAAAATAGAGTAAAAGGAAACATAAAAAACATCATTGGAATAGATGCTATGCATGTCACTTTAAAAAATTCTGCAAAATGATTATTTTTTTGTTTAGTGCTTTCAGTTTAGCAAACACTGAATTTTGTGAAGAATAAGAAGAAAGAAGAAGGAGGAGGTGGGGGATGAGGAGGGGGAGGGGAGGAGGGGGAGGGGAGGAGGAGACAACGACAATGAGGAGGAGTAGGAAAAACGAACAAAAATGACAACAACAAAAACAAGAAAGTATATGAACTGTAGATAAGCAAACATAAATAAACCTTTTACCTTTACTTTGGAATGATTTTAAAGTTCGCCCATACACAATGTTCTTTCACTTTTAAATTGCACACGTTCCTATATCAGCATGTCCCTGAAGGATCTGAAATGGATTTACTAGTATTGTAACCTATTTGATCCAATTAAAATATGTCTCTGTCTAAACTTCTGAAATTCAACTACAGAAATTTCTGACTTATATCCTCCTTCTGACCTTTAGCAGAATGTTCTATACTCACAACATCATTCTCAGTTGTTAAGAAGCGAGTTCATATATTTCACCACTGGAGAAACTGAAGCACATTTAAGGGGGGAAAATAGCTTATTTTGGTTACTGGCAGAGTCAGAAATATACCAGTGTAACATTTTATTGAGTTTATTGAAGTGAATGTTGCCTACAACATACAGATGGTAGGTGCAAAACATCCTCATCTAAAGTGACAGGAATAAAGTTAAGAAATGCAAAAATAAACTCTCAAAATACATCACTGTATTGAGGCAGGCAGCCCCAGCAGTCATTTTTTCCTGTGCCTCCTGTAAAAGATCAGATGTTCTGGAGTCAAACAGCTATGCATTTTTAGCTTTCTTATATATGAAGTAAATAAATTTGGTATTGTGTTATTTCTCTCTCCTGTAACTAAAGTGATTATTTTCTAAAATAAATAAGGCAGGATGGGAAGGGAGTGCAGGATCTAAGCTGTCACTGACATCCTGACCACAAAGCCACCTGCCTGTCTGTTTCCTGTTCACAATGTCCAGCATGAAAATATATACTACCTATTGATGTCAGGATATAATTCAGAGTAGTAGATAGACCATTGTAAGAGAGATTGGCTATTTTCTCTTCAGTATTAAGATTAAGAAGCAGTTTTCTCTGCCTTGCATGCTGTGGAAGTTTCTGAGTTTTCCAAGTGATTTTTTTTCATTTCAACACTTCTGTTTTCTCTTTCCTTCTCGGCTATCTCCCATTCTACATTAAAAAAACAATGATGCTTTACTGCTTTCTAATTACTTAATTTACATCTTCTCGCCTGATAGTCAGATTTTCTAGACACTCCATGATATTTCCCTGCCTAATTTACATGAGATACGAATAAACCAGACTGAAATCTGCGTGTTTGCTTTTCTTACGTTAATCGTTCTTAGTTGTTAGCAGTATTAACACCTTGATCATTTACAATTAAATTTACTTACTAAATTTATTGCTTCAAATAACAATGTCTCTTTTTAATATTTAATTGGATTGAATTTTAAAGATGTTGATTTAAATGCTATCATGCCCAAGACATCATGCTTTTAACCTGAGATGCTACCTTTCGTGCAACTTAATTGAATACTTCCTATCTGCTATGAAATATGAGAGGATGAAGAATATAGAAGAAAAATAAATTAGCCTTTGACTTCAAATATAAATGCAAATTTATAATATATTTACATGAGAAACTTGAAATTCTTTTAACAGTTCTGGACATCCATAATCTATGGAATTTGGGGCATTTCAAGCATTTTTTACTCAGATCTCAAGAAGCAGTGAGGGTCCTGGATGATACCTGGGTTATTTTAATAATTACTAATATTTAGCATTTACTTTGAACTGATTTCTATACTATCCATATGTTTGATACTAACTCATTTATTTATGAAATGAAAATTTATATTTTGATTGCTTTTCCTGCGCTTGGTCATCTACTTTCTTCTATGTCCATCCTTCCTCCATGAATAGGAAAGTAATATAGAAAGTATGGTGCTAGTTCCTAATCTCAGTAGTTGCTATGAAAATGAATAATCTTTGATGAAAAGCAAGTTGAATGTGTCACAATCGAGTGTGTGCACCATCAGATTTTAATGGAAAAATGGAAAAGGAGTGTAGTTATCAAGGAACATAATACAAAGACACTTTTCTCTCAAGTTTCCAATTTCACAACGATATTTGTGAATATACTTATGTTTAGGAATGCTGAAATATTCAGTCATTTCTCTCAATTCTACAGTTCAAATTTACATTTACATCCCGCTTGATGGGAAAATTTTAAAAGCAGTCAAATGTATCATGCCTAAAGAAAGCCTATTTCCTTCATTTATAGAAACCTTTTCTCCAACCTAGACAGCTTCTTTTCAAAACCATTTTTCTGTATATGTTTGCATGTGTGTGTGTTTATCTGAATTCAAGTGCAGCATAAGTTTTGCTGCTCAGTTCTGTGCCAAATACAGATGCCAGAATTTCCCCAAGCCAATAATTACTGGGATTTCCCTCTACTGAATCTATCAAAACAATATCTCATGAGTTTTCAAATAGTTTGCACCTGTCTTTTGTTAAGTTTTGTTGTATGTTGATTCGAGAAACAAACAAACAAAAATAGCCTAATGAGAAGGAACTGAGAAGCCTGTAAAACTGGCCAAGCCAGACAAGGTAGAGAAATATTTTGCAGGAAAAAAAATTACTTAGGAATAATCTATAATTTACATATTTATAGCACTAGAACTGGAAGAGAGTGTTCAGTAAATTTACCTTGTTATTCAGGGGTGTGTCACTTGGCTCATCACTATCCCCACGGATAAAATGTACTGAGAAAGAGGTACATCCTGTTCTCCCTCTCTATAACACCTTACCCAAGGAAGTTTGTGATATTTTGGTCTAACCCAAATAATGCTTTAATTATTAAATCTAATGCAGTAAGGTAACAGGGCCGGCCAAGATTTTTGTATATCAAACACTTTGCACACATCTTGAGTTCAGTAAGTGCTCAGTGTCTGTATAATATGACAAATAATGAAAGAGGCCAGTGCTGGAGAATTTCAAGGCTACAAATGTAGTCAAAAGAGAGATATTTGAGATATCAAATATGGTTTATAAACTCATTATTAAAATGGCTTTTTAAAAACCACTATATTCTGGCCTATTAAAAGCCAGCATATGCTGGCAACAGTGCTTTACCTACATTATCTCATTAATTCCTCCAAACTACCCCATGCACACATACTTTCATGGATGTTTCAGAGATATGAAAACAGAGTCATAACACAGTTATGAATTTGTTGCCAACACACATGCTGTAATCACAAGGGCATACTGAATCAGGATGGGAACAAAAGCTAAGTGAATAACAAGGTAGACTTAAAATTACAACAAAACTTGCCATCTCATTATTCAGTTATAGTTTGTGTAAATAACTGAGAAAATTGCCTGAGGTCTATTTTTAAAATTATTTACATTTGGCTGAATTTCATTTGGAGTAGACTATAATCCTGGGATAATATATATGAAAACAATAAATAAATAAATATTTAATATAGATTTTTATTTGCATTGGTTGAAATATAAATAAAATTATTTCCATTCAAAGATATTTTCAAGAAATCCAAATATAATAAGAGTAAAAATGTAGAGCATCATCTTTTAAAATAAGTATCAGAGGACATTTTATAACATAACTTAATATTTTCCTAGGACAATAATAGTTACTCAATAAGTAATTATTACATGACTTAGTGACAAGAAGTATTGTATTATATTTTTAGTTTTTTACGTGGTTATCATGTTTGAGAGAAATATGTCAATCTGTGGTATACTCACAGTCAGTGTAACATAGTGGTTAAGATCACTGGCTCTGTAAGGTTCAGATATGTTCCATATAAAGTTATAACCTAAAACTCTCAGGACACCAGGTTCTATAAAGTGAAGATAATAATAGTATTTATTACATGGCTGGTATGAGAGAATTATGAGTTTCAATAGGTAAGGTTCTTAGAAGAGCATCTGGCATTTAGTAAGTATTGAATAAGTATTAGCTATTATATAATTTGTGCCCCTTTTCAAGTAAAAGTAAGATACACTATGATGGAGTTCTATGCCATCATTCAATGCTAAACAGTAAAGATTTCAAATGGTTGAGGTTTGATATATCCACAAAATACTTTCTCAATAAATAAGTGCTGATATCTTTTTTCTTTAGATTTTAAACTAATGAAGATGAAGAAGGACGAGGAGGAGGAAGAAGAGAAACTATTACAGATTGGTCTTAGTAAGTAGTTCCAGGAATTCAGAGTATAATCTATATTTTGTGTTCTTTTCTTTCCCCCATTTTATTAATGTGTTTCTTTTAATTCTTTGCTATTTTTTTGCACCAACTTCAAACCCTTTTAAGAATAAGGGAGGTATACTTCAAGTAATTATTTATTAAAATATGCTTGATATATGACAGCAAATATATTGATTATAATATCAATATGCTTATGCTTTTGATATTATATATCAAAATATGCTTGATATATAATATCAACTATTTGAACAAATTTATCAGGCAGATTCGGAGTATACCTTCCCTATATTCCCCATAGAGCGTCTGAACGGTTTTTAGCACATATCTTCATCTGATCCATTTAGTTTATGACAGCACTTTTTAACAATTAAAATATGCTCACTGGTTTACCAAAACATCATAGGGAAGCCCTGCTAGTGAGTCAAACCAAATATTTTGTGATAGACATAGCTATATATTGACTATATATATGTTTATGAATGCATATATGTATGTACTTCATAGATCTGTTATAGTATATGTAAGTGACATTTTTAAAACTTTTCAGTTTTCCATGGATTTTAGTTAGTTGACCTCTCTTCACCTTGGAGATATTCAAGTTAACAATTGTTATTAATTGTTGTAATTGTTCAGTTAATAACTAGTTATGACTTCTTCAGCCATTACATTAGCCATGAAGTAGAGATGCAAGTGAGCCGGGGGTGGGGAGTGGGAAAAGCAGAAGTCAGTACTTTACAAAGAATGTGGGTACCAGTCGTACATGTCCATAAACACCAGAAAGTACCACAGCATCACATTTGCAGTTATGAGTATCCACATTTCCAATGCCTTCTTCCACTAACGCTGTTCTCGCTACGCTCTATGTGATGCTACTTCAAAATTTCTAACATAGGCCATGCTAAAATTGAAATAAAATCTCAAATCAAGTGTTATTCAAACTTTTTTTAATTTTCAGATATGACAAAGGCCACTGCTCTTGTTTAGACAGATAGTTTTGATTTCATGTTAATCACCTTGCAAACTTTAATTTTGAGAAAATTTCATGTGCTTATGGAATCATTCTATCTGTTGTTCTTTGATTGATAACATCAATATTTATTTTATCCAGTAGTCTGTTAACTTTCCAAGCTATTTTTAGTCTCTACTATTCTAGATTTACTTGCAATCTTCTCAGTAACTGAGGAAAATGTTTCTATCATATCATGTGCAGGCTCAATTATTTTGCATAAGGTCACTTCTATTCCCCTCTCATTTACTTTTCTCCCCTCCCCCTTTTTCATATTCCTCTGTACACATTTTTGTTTTTTTGGTAACAATTTTGTATCAAATTTTTTCCCATTTTTGTTCTTTATTTCCTATTTTTTAAATTTACTGAGATATAATTGACATATTGTGTAAGTTTAAGATGTCGAGGGTATTGATTTGATCCATTTATATATTGCAATATGATTACCACCATAGCATTAGTTAACACCTGAATCATGTCACATAATTATCATTTCTTTTTTGTGTGAGAACATTTAAGGTCTACTCTATTAGCCACTTTCAAATATATAACACAATATTGTTAACTATAATCACTATGTCATGTTTTAGATTTGGAAACTCTATTCCTCTTCTAACAAAGTAAAAGCTTTGTAGATGCAGACAGTAAAATGGTGGTTACCAGGGGCTGGGGGGTAGGAGAATTGGGTGATATTGGTCAAAGGGTAAAAACTTTGTGCTTTTTGATTGGATAATTCAATAAATTTGTGTTTAGAGTGATTATTGCTATGTAAGGACTTATTAATGCCATTGTATTAATTGCTTTCTGGTTCTTTTATAATTCCATTGCTGTTTTTCCCTCTCTTTATGCCTTTCTTTGTGAATTGATTATTTTTTTGTGGGGGTATGCTCTGATTTCCTTCTCTTTATCTTTTGCGAATCTAATATAGGTTTTTGCTCTGTGGTCACCATGTGAGGCTGACATCTTACAGATTTAAAATGTCTATTTTATGGTGATAGCAACTTAACTTTGATTAAATACAAAAAAATCTACCCTTTTACTCCTTCCCATTTACTTTTTTAATGTCACAATTTATCTCTTTTTATATTGTATGTTTTCTAGACTATATATTATCAAATTATAGTTATTTTTAATGCTATTTTCCTTTAACCTTTATACTATAGTTCAGTGGTAACTTGCCATCATATTACAGAATGAGATTTCTGAATTTGACTATACATTTAACTTTCCCAATGTGTTCTATATTTTTGTATATTTTCACTTAACTAATTAGCTTCTTTTCATTTCACTTGAAGAAATCCTTTCATCATTTTTTATAAGGCAGACCCAGTGGAGACAAACTCCCTCAGCTTTTGTGTTTCAGGGAAAGTCTTTATTTTTCCTTCATACCTGAAGGATAATTTTGCCATGCAGAGTATTCTTGGTTGGCGATTTTTTTCTTTCAGAACTTTGAATATATAATCCCACTCTCTACTGGCCTGTAAGTGTCTGCTGAGAAACTTGCTGATAGCTTAATGAAGATTCTTTTGTAGGTTACAGTCTTTTCTTCTTGCTGCTTTTAGGATTCTTTGTCTTTGATTTTTGACAATTTCATTATAGTGTGTCTTGCAGAAGATCTTTTTGTAATGAAATAATGGGGTAATTTGTTAGCTTCATGAACTAGAAGTCCAGTCTCCCCCGCAAGGTTGGGAAATTCTCAGTCATTGTTTCTTTAAATAATCTTTCTGCCTCCTTCTCTCCTCCTTATGGAGCTCCAATGATCCTGATTTTGGCTCTTTCAATGGTATTCCATAGCTCATGTAGATTTTCTTTGGTCTTTTTCATTCTTTTTTCTTTGTTTTCCTCTTACTGGGTTATTTCAAAGTTTGTATCCTCTAATTCACTGACTGTTTCTTCTCCTTGATCTATTCTAATGTTGATGTTCTCTATTGCATTTTTCATTTCATTCACTGCATTTTCAATTTTAGAATTTCTGTTGTTGTTTTTTTAACGATTCCTAGCTCTTTGTTGAATTTCTCATTTTATTTGTGTTTTGTTTTCCTGATTTCATTGAATTGTTACAGTGTTTTTTTTGTAGCTCATTGAGTTTCCTCAAAATAGCTATTTTGAATTCTCTATCAGGTAAACTGCAGGTCTCTGTGTACTTTAGGTTTGGTTACAGGATGATTATTGTGATCTTTTGTTGATATGTTTTCTTGATTCCTCACTTTTTTTTTGGAGTTTGCATTGTTGTTTTTGAAGTAACAGTCGCCTCTCCAATCTTTATTAGCTGCCTTCACATGAGGGATACTTTTTTTATATACATCTTTATTGGAGTATAATTGCTTCACAATGCTATGTTAGTTTCTGTTGTACAACAAAGTGAATCAGCCATATGCATACATATATCCCCATATCCCCTCCCTCTTGAGCCTCCCTCCCACCCTCCCTAGCCCACCCCTGTAGGTCATCACAAAGCACTGAGCTGATCTCCCTGTGCTATGCTGCTGCTTCCCACTAGCTATCTATTTTACATGTGGTAGTATATATATGTCAATGCTTCTCTCACTTTGCCCCAGCTTCCCCTTCCCACCCCATGTCCTCAAGTCCATCTCTACATCTGCATCTTAATTCCTGCCCTGCCACTAGGTTCATCAGTCCCTTTTTTTTAGATCCCACATATATGTGTTAGCATATGGTATTTGTTTCTCTTTCTGACTTACTTCACTCTGTATGACAGACTCTAGGTCCATCCACCTCACTACAAATAACTCAATTTCGTTCCTTTTTATGGCTGAGTAATATTCCATTGTATATCACTTCTCAGCCTTTTGGCTAAGATCAAGTGTAGTATCTGTCCTTATCAGTGAGGGATAGTTTTCACTGGTCTTGTTGCAATATTCTGAGACTTTCTCTGACCTTGTATGGATATACCTACTCCACACTTCTTGCTCCCTCTTGTGGCAGAATTCTTGTATGTCTTCTCTCAATCTTAAAATGCACCAGGCTGGCAGCTGCTAACCTCTCTTTTGTTTTCCCAAAGGTGGTGGTACTACAGCTCAAGATTGTGGTTTCTCCCTTGCCCACAGACACTGGCCTGTTTTCTGCACATGCTCCCTCTCTATCCAAGCTCACTCTTGCCACCGCCCACAGAACATGTACTAGGAGCCAGCTGCAGAGTTGGGGGAGGTGTGAGTTTGGAATTCAGGTCATTGTGGGTGTTCAAAGGCTACTTGGGGGATCTTGGGGTGAGATTTTCCCTGCAGCTCATGGGTGGGCTCTCTGCTGGAGTCCAGGATACAGTCAGCTGAAACTGTGTCCCGTTAATGCCCTTGGATATTCCTATCTACCTCTTTCCTTAACTTCCCCTCCACTCCCCAATCTTGGAGTTCTTGATTAATACTCTGGCTGCTGTGAGTGAGAAATGGGTTTCTGTAACAGCTTCTTTCACTGCTTGGGAAGCCAGATGCTCACTCACTGCTCTCCCTTTCCCCTGCAGAAGAGATGGTTTTTTGCTCCAAAGGAGTCCTGAAACTTCTTCTCTGGAAGCCTGGACTTCTACAAAGGCTCTCTCCTCTGTGTGTGTCCACATAAGTCAGTGTTTTTCAGGTGCTCCCATTCTGTGGCTGAGCAGGGCTGGAGCCAGTGCTCATGCCCATGCTGGTTCCACAGCTTGTACTAAAGTCTGTCTTCCTATTACCTGATGCATATGGGGGCAGAACCTCTCTGGGGTCCCTTGGTGTATGTTGCTGGATTCCACAACTCCCACAGAGACACTTTAGTTCATGGATGAATGCCAAATTTTAATTGTGAAGGAGGGTCAAAACCAAGGTCATCTTATGCTGCCATGAAGCTGTTATCATTCTTTTATCAAAGCTTTTATCTAAGAAGGAAGAGAAAATGTCATTTTTGAATAGTTTTGAGTGGGATTCTGAAAATAACTTATCTAAGAAGGCTTCCATTTTTAGAAAGATAAAAACAATGGATAGTGGAGAAA